GATATTATTTTTTTAATTTGGTCTGTTCTTGCGAGACATTAATTTCAATGAGAGCGGTGCTACAACCTCGAAGATAAAACGTAATTTAGACATCACAAAACTACCTTCTTTTTCAGTCTTCCTGGCACATGGAAACCGTCACCAAATGAATGACCGTTTCCCCCCATTTCTTATTAAATGCTATTAAGAGTAAACCGAGAATTATACACACTGGTCTTTTTTTGGACCAAAACAACAATGAAAAGGGGTGAGGAGGAGGCCTTTTCGTTCGGTTCTGTTTAATGGGGATAATAGTAATGCACAAATGTTTGGAAAATGGTGGAATTGTCTCAACAGTTTTGTCCGAGGTTGAAGCTCCCGTGAGCGGCCATCAATGCTGAGTCGTTCTTGGATCAGGTCCAGTGATAAGTCATTTTCTGAATCCTGGGAGGTTAAGCTTAGCAGGAATTTCGAATGTTGTTTCAAACAACGAACCTACAATAATGCACGTACCAGCGCCCATCACTTGGTGTCGACCCCGGGGGTCATACTAGGGCATGGAGCGGGATTTGTTGACATTTGCTGCCAATTTTTATCCCTGGATGGGGAGTGGATCGCTTAAGCACTTTTGTAGCATATTCTCCAAGGAAAGACCATTTGTAATGCACCAAGCGGCGAAGACCAAAGCGTTCCAAGATGGCGGAAATCCTTTCAGAAGGCGGGTCTAGAGTGAAATCTAGGAAGGTGCGAAATTGCTTAAGCGGATAACAACATGCCACTTGCCTCTTTTTAGTTTGTTTTTAAATATAGTACACGGCCTTTGCTTAGGCTTCACTTTCTACACACATTACATAAACATAGATCCTTAAAATACAGAAGAAATACACAAAAAAACAAAATTAATTAAGATATTGATAGTATAAAGGTTGCTTGACAGGATATTGTGTACTAGAATAAATTTTTTTTCTTTTGTCTTTAGGAATCTGTTTATATTTACTTTTTTTTTGTATTGTTGGTGCGACGGGAAGTAAGTTCGTTAATGGTTTGCCATGTTTTTTCGAGAATTACCTTTAGATTGACTAAAAGCATTAGAAATAATCAAGAGCCATAATGGCTCTTGAAATAATAAGATGCTTTAGAAGTCTTGATGTTATTGTTTATTGTATTTCGCAACTTTTTGTACTTTGCCCAGTCGCGTGGATCATTCTTTTGGCAGCATGACGATCGCGCATCCCTTTCTTTAATTCTGAATTGATCCAAGGTGCTTTTTTTATTCTAGCGCGTCTAGTTCGGAGTGGAGCATGAAAGTTAACAACATCCAAAAATTTCGTTTTCCAATCAGCCCACAAAACATTAGGATCATCAGAGCCGTTACAAGTCCAGTCCTGCTGAGCGATATCGTTACGAAAACTCTCTCGATTAGAATTTTTAAAATTTCCGTAAGAAATGGTTGAATGCCCTTTTGAAGGAAAAGCAGGCGATAATTTTCTATAAACGTAAATAAGGCTGTGATCGCTGATGGCAATATGAGAGACTCCGGAACAGACTACCCTGTCAGCATAGTATGTAAAAATTAAATCAACTAAAGTTGATGAGGATTCTGTTATGCGAGTAGGTTCAGTTATAGGTTGTTGAAGCCCAAATAAATCAGAAATTTCACATAAGTGAAGAGTATTTGAATCGTATTGTAAAGAGGCCAGGTTACAACTTAAATCACCTAAAAGACAATATTCAAGACCAATAGAATCTAATTTTTCAAGAAATGATTAGTAATATAAAAATAAATCGGCGAAGAGCAAGGAGGTTCATACCATGTAGCTATCAGAAATGGCTTTGAGTTAGGCTTACGAATTTTAATACATAAATTTTCAAGATTAGGTACATTTAGATTAGAACAACTACAGGTTTTTATACAAAAGCCTACTCCTCCGCCTTGTCTGTTTCTATCACGACGAATAAATTCATAGCCTGGTATGTGGACCTCACAGCTTTTGATAGTGTCATCAAGTTTAGTTTCATTAATTGAGATAATATCGACAGAATAATCAAAAAGCAGAATTCTCAATTCATCAATGTCTTAAGTTAGACTGTTGATGTTCAAATGGGCTTTTCTAAAACCTCGTCTAGAAGGAATTAAATCAGAAATACTATTATGTTGATTGGAAATAGGTGAGCTAAAATACCTTTCAGAGGTTAGCGTAGGCGTCTCCAGTTGCGAGCTGCAATAGGATAGTTTCCTAGCTCCATTAGAAGCTTTCCCAGTCGTTGAAAAAGGACCGAAAACCCTTACCAGAATGATTAGGGTTTGAGGGCATTAAAAATCGTTCTATAGGACAAAACTGTTCTACCCAACTATTTTAGCCCTACTATTTACAGGTACAGCAAGGGGCGGATCCAGTGGGGTTGGATTGGGTAGCTAGCCACCCCTATTTAGGACAGCCCACCAAAAAACATTTAATACGTGGAAAGACATACAGAAATACGTGGGTCCCAAAGAAATCGAGAAAACTACGTACCCAGCATACTCAGCTGCACAGTACTGGAAGGAAACGGTGACAATTCCTTGACGTAATCTGCTCAGGAAAAGAGGGCACATTATGAGCTATGTACTCTTATTCCTCAAGTAATGAAGACGTCTCAAGAAGCCACAGTAGAACTCAGGCGCGGATCTACACCGGTTTCCAACTTTTCACGAAAATCGGTCAGATTTTTCATAAATAAATAAATATATTTTAAATGGAAAAAAATCCAAGTTGAACTCTTTCAAATATCCTGTCTGAATGACTCAGAAACCCAAGAAAGGGAACTTTAGGAAGTTAAAACCGAAAAATGTACCGGGGAAGCATGCCCCAGACCCCTATAAGCTTGGCCCGTCGGCGCTCGTTTAGGAATTCCGTTAGTATTCATCCTAGATCCGCGCTCGGAACTTGCTCAAGTACTGCAAGAGAAGTGGGGCCATCTGATGCCTTGCCGTCATCTTTCCAAAGTCAGGAACTGTGTGGGCTGGAAGCGACAGGAAGCGTGTCGGATTATGAATCCATCTCGGGCTCCTCACAGATAGACAACCCGCAGACAACATCTCCTTCCCAAACTAGAGGGAACTTCTACAGGGTGTTTCAAAAGTTCGTTCCGATTGTAAATTGTATTTTGCGCAAAGCATTTAATGCTTCTTTAGGCAAATGTAAAGTGATTCAGGTAAGAAATTTATCTAAATAACCGTTAAAAGCAATTTCAAACTAAAATTTGAATAAATTATAATTTTTTTAATTTTTGCCACAACTGTACACGCACACGAGGTTTTTCCCACCATACTTTTCCTGCCCATTTTGTAGGTTTTCTATTTTGGTATTTTTATCGTTTTCTTTCATTTTCTCTACTCGTTCATGAAAATGAAGGCCTACACTGTTTGTGCTATAGCTCAGGCATCTATTTTTATGGTCTTCTGGCCATTCAGTCCAAAAAAATTGTCAAATTGTTGAAGAAGTCTGAACGATGACCGAACAAGACGTCAAAAGTAAAGACCTTACAAGACAAACCAAGGAGTGCATGGCCTTTTTTTCACAAACTGTGTGAGAAATATTATCGAAAAAGCTGTAAGTATATGCTTAATAATTCCACAAAACAGAGAATTTCAACTTCACATTATCGATCAAAGTTTCGAGCACAACGGTGAGGGGATAAGTTACCAAAAAAAGTTGAAAGCCTTGAAGAGGAAAAGGCGGTGCACACTTCATGCAAGCATGGTGTCAGAAGGATTTGCCAACTTTAGACCAAAGGAGGACCAGCCGGCAAACTCATGTGATGTGAACTCCCTAGAGACCATCTGGATTATCGTAGACGAGACAACATACAAAGATCCAGCCCCCTAAACACTGAACAAGCTAAGACAGTGACTACGCTTCGCCTGGAAGAATGTGACTTTGGACACGCCTTGGGAGCTCGTACATTCTATACCTCACCGCTTAGAAAATGTCAGAAAACATACAGGGAGACATTCTGGTTACTAACATTTTAGTTATTCAATGTTAAATAAATAGAGGATATTACACGGTGGCGCGAAGATATGAATTTTATTTTCGAGTGGCAAAACAATATTTTACTCACTCGCTGCGCTCGTTCGTAAAATATTGTTTTTGCCACGAGAAAATATGGAAAATAAACCACTCGGGTCGCGAATGTAGTTTTTCTGAATTTTACGAGTGGTATACTTTCCAGTAAAACACTCGTGTCTATATAATAAATAATGAATAACATACTAAGTTTTCCAAAGGTTTTTTTTAATAATTAGTGAAATTTAAGCGAATAAAAAATCGGAACGAACTTTTGAAACATCCTGTAAAAATTCTCACCGTTTTGTCTATGGAAAGCACGGAGGCGGAGAAATCATTTTCCTGTATTCGGAGAATCCATAATTGGCTTCGCAACACAATGACCATCGAATGACTCTCAGATTTGGCCGTCATCGCCGTGCATGCAAACGCAGTTACCATCGATAGAAGAGTGGTTTGTCAGAAATTTGTGGTGCTACACCCTAGACGAAGGACAGCGTCTTCACTTCTGGCCGACTAGGTTAGTAAAGTATTTCTATTAGCTTCTATTTCTTCTCAGTTTTTGTGGCGTTTCAGGAGTTTGCAGTGTTACAGTCTCCAATTCGTCCTTCCTAAATTGCCATGTTTTAGAACAGACGTAGGACAACTTAAAAGAAATTAACGTACGCTTTGGTAGCTGATTGGTATCACCCATCCCCCATTAAAAATCCTGGATCCGCCCCTGAGAGCATTTTGTGCATTGTCTCTTTTTAGCGTTGAAATAGACCAATCTAATTATCATTATATAAAAAACAATATACTAAAGAATGTGGGGTTGAAACTGGCCGAAGACCGAACACAGAGCCAGCTGGTAACAACAGTGTTGACCGTTAGCAATTCTCAGTTTCAGTAAATCTTGCGAGGTCGCCAAGCTACAGGAGCCGTGCAATGTAAAATAACAAACCCATATGTCTCGGTTTAATCAGGACCTGCCTACTTTTCTCCCACTTCAATCTGGGCGTGACGTGTATGTTTTGCTGACTCTAATGCTCCATCCAAATCACCAAGACAAAGTTGAGTAAAGAAAAGGGACTCATAACTATTACCGGTGCTTGCGTGTTCTTCTCCGAACAGTTTAAGACGGATCTCAAGTGCGTGCTTCTTAGAATCTAGTGCTGCTTTGAAGTCTCCAAGTGAATGGTGAGTGACGCCAACATTATGATAACTATAAGCGGTGCTTGCGTGTTCTTCTCCGAACAGTTTAAGACGGATCTCAAGTGCGTGCTTGTAAGAATCTAGTGCTGCTTTCTTCTCCTCGAAGTGGTGAGTCTCCGAGGTGAACAGTTTAAGACGGATCTCAAGTGCGTGCTGGTGCGTGACGTGCTGCTTTGAAGTCCCATCATGAAAGATCACGATAACTATCAGCGGTGCTTGCGTGTTCTTCTCCGAACAGTTTAAGACGGATCTCAAGTGCGTGCTTGTCACAATCTACTGCTGCTTTGAAGTCTCCAAGTGAATGGTGAGTGACGCCAAGATTATGATAACTATCAGCGGTACTTGCGTGTTCTTCTCCAAACAGTTTAAGACGGATCTCAAGTGCGTGCTTGTAAGAATCTAGTGCTGCTTTGGAGTCTCGAAGTGAATGGTGAGTGACGCCAAGAGTATAATAACTATCAGCGGTGCTTGCGTGTTCTTCTCCGAACAGTTTAAGACGGATCTCAAGTGCGTGCTGGTCACAATCTAATGCTTCTTTGAAGTCTCCAAGTGAATGGTGAGTGACGCCAAGATCACGATAACTATCAGCGGTGCTTGCGTGTTCTTCTCCGAACAGTTTAAGACGGATCTCAAGTGCGTGCTGGTCACAATCTAATGCTTCTTTGAAGTCTCCAAGTGAATGGTGAGTGACGCCAAGATCATGATAACTATCAGCGGTGCTTGCGTGTTCTTCTCCGAACAGTTTAAGACGGATCTCAAGTGCGTGCTGGTCACAATCTAGTGCTGCTTTGAAGTCTCCAAGTGAATGGTGAGTGACGCCAAGATTATGATAACTATCAGCGGTGCTTGCGTGTTCTTCTCCGAACAGTTTAAGACGGATCTCAAGTGCGTGCTTGTAAGAATCTAGTGCTGCTTTGAAGTCTCCAAGTGAATGGTGAGTGACGCCAAGCTCATCATAACTATCAGCGGTGCTTGCGTGTTCTTCTCCGAACAGTTTAAGACGGATCTCAAGTGCGTGCTTTTTAGAATCTAGTGCTGCTTTGAAGTCTCCAAGTGAATGGTGAGTGACGCCAAGACTATAATAACTATCAGCGGTGCTTGCGTGTTCTTCTCCGAACAGTTTAAGACGGATCTCAAGTGCGTGCTTCTTAGAATCTAGTGCTGCTTTGAAGTCTCCAAGTGAATGGTGAGTGACGCCAAGCTCATAATAACTATCAGCGGTGCTTGCGTGTTCTTCTCCGAACAGTTTAAGACGGATCTCAAGTGCGTGCTGTAGAGAATCTAGTGCTGCTTTGAAGTCTCCAAGTGAATGGTGAGTGACGCCAAGCTCATGATAACTATCAGCGGTGCTTGCGTGTTCTTCTCCGAACAGTTTAAGACGGATCTCAAGTGCGTGCTGTAGAGAATCTAGTGCTGCTTTGAAGTCTCCAAGTGAATGGTGAATGACGCCAAGACTATAATAACTATTAGTGGTGCTTGCGTGTTCTTCTCCGAACAGTTTAAGACGGATCTCAAGTGCGTGCTGGTCACAATCTAGTGCTGCATTGAAGTCTCCAAGTGAATGGTGAGTTTCGCCAAGATCACGATAACTATCAGCGGTGCTTGCGTGTTCTTCTGCGAATAGTTTTAGACGGATCTCAAGTGCGTGCTGGTTACAATCTAATGCTGCGTTGAAGTCTCCAAGTGAATGGTGATTGACGCCAAGACTATGATAACTATCAGCGGTGCTTTCGTGTTCTTCTCCGAACAGTTTAAGACGGATCTCAAGTGCGTGCTGGTCACAATCTAGTGCTGCTTTGAAGTCTCCAAGTGAATGGTGAGTTTCGCCAAGACTATGATAACTATCAGCGGTGCTTGCGTGTTCTTCTCCGAACAGTTTAAGACGGATCTCAAGTGCGTGCTGGTCACAATCTAGTGCTTCTTTGAAGTCTCCAAGTGAATGGTGAGTGACGCCAAGATCACGATAACTATCAGCGGTGCTTGCGTGTTCTTCTCCGAACAGTTTAAGACGGATCTCAAGTGCGTGCTGTAGAGAATCTAGTGCTGCTTTGAAGTCTCCAAGTGAATGGTGAGTTTCGCCAAGAATATGATAACTATCAGCGGTGCTTGCGTGTTCTTCTCCGAACAGTTTAAGACGGATCTCAAGTGCGTGCTGTAGAGAATCTAGTGCTGCTTTGAAGTCTCCAAGTGAATGGTGAGTTTCGCCAAGAATATGATAACTATCAGCGGTGCTTGCGTGTTCTTCTCCGAACAGTTTAAGACGGATCTCAAGTGCGTGCTGTAGAGAATCTAGTGCTGCTTTGAAGTCTCCAAGGGAATCGTGAGTGACGCCAACATTATGATAACTATAAGCGGTGCTTGCGTGTTGTTCTCCGAACAGTTTAAGACGGATCTCAAGTGCGTGCTTGTAAGAATCTAGTGCTGCCTTTAAGTCTTTAGGTGAATGGTGAATGACGCCAAGCTCATCATAACTAACAGCGGTGCTTGCGTGTTCTTCTCCCTCAAGAGGGATTGTCAAGCCCAGTGCTTGCTTTTGGGCTCTAATGGCTTCAGAATAATTATTTTTCCTGGAGAGAATGGTTCCAAGATCGATGTAACACGCTGCAAGAGCTTCACCGTGCAAGTGGTAAGCTGACGAATTTTCGTTGCATAGACTGAGAGCTGTTTGATGGTAATTGATTCTTGTTTTAAGGAGCATTTTAGTGTCTCCACTTGTCTTAAATAAGGTTATAACATTTCGATGAAAACGAAAGAGACCGCTTGAAACGTGCTGCTCTATTTCGATCTCTTTCAGCATTTTATGCGAAATATTTTGAAAATGTTGCTTAGTATCAGTATCCACGAAGTTCTTCGTTGCCTTGCTTACCAGGTCAAGCACTTGCCATCTTAGAGGATGGTTAGAAATAATGCTAGAGTCTGTCTGGTTTTCGACTACTTCAGTTTTTCTCTCTTTGCTTTTCCATGAGGATATCAAAAGTAGATCCGTGTCTCCTACTGCCTTGCACTCCTTTTTTGTATTATACAGTAACTGTTTCAAGTCGAGCATATGGTTCTGAATTTGGGAAAAATGACCAAGAATTTGGAGAGCAACAAGCCTAAGTACTGCCAAATCTGGGCTCCCATACATCAACTGAAGAGCCTCTCGTAAATACTGAACTCCTTCTTCAGTTTTAGAGCTAGCAAGGTAGTTGATGCCTAAATAACACAAACGTTTTCCTTGTGGTTCTGACTTGGAAAAAAATCGCAGGGCCGAGGATTCCGCCGTTTCCTTCGCTCTACAAAGCAACTGCTTCGTACTTCCCTTCGGTCCCCAACATGCTTCTGCGAACGCCTTTGAAACGAGAAGTTGACTGTAAGACTCGTTTGCCTCCAGCCTCTTCGCAGCCTGAATTGCTGAATCGTAAATTTGGTCAAAGGTTGATGCTTCTAAGAAATAAAGGTTATCCAGAAATAACTCTCCTTTTGCTAACACCTCAAAAACTGCGCGTGCTGTAATGGGATCAGAAAGAGACTCCAATAGGCTTTGAACAATGCTTTGCTCATCTTTATAGAATGCCAGAAAGGCCTCCATTGAATGACCAGTGAGATATTTCCTATTTAGTTTCTCAAACAGTGACACGTAAAACGAATTCAAATGATGCTTTGATTTAAGGACCGTGTCTTTCATTTCATTTAGTCCCTTTTCTCTTGCAAATGTTTGAATCAGCTTGTGCATCGTGAAGGACTCTTCCTGCAAACCTGAATCAAGAAGTGACTTTCTCCGAAAGCCTTGCAATATTTTCTTGGTCTTAAAAGTGTTTTTACCCAAAACGGCTGAAGCAACCTCACTACCGAAATTGTCAGGAAGAATACTCAACGATACTAGTGCTTCTCGTTCCTGTGCATTCAGTCTTTGGAAAGACGAGGAAACAAGAAATTGCAATCTGTGATTGGGAGGATGATCTTCGTTGTCTAACATCTCAATGATGCTCGCCGAAGCGGAGTGCTGCATGAATTCATCGAGAAATTGGCTCGGTTGAGCTTTATATTCAGAAATCGAGCAGCACAATAATTTAATTGCTAAGGGTACAAAGCCACAGATTTGCGTGATTTGCCGACAATCCAAAGAACTGACGTTTGAAAGTAATTCCTGAACTAAGGTCTGAGCGTGGGCTTCTTCCAGTGTTCTTATCCTTACACTCTTGTGGCCTTGAAAATGTACGTTCATAAACTCCAAAGATTCCCTCGTTGTTACAACGATTGTCAACTTTTCATTGCGCCTGAGAATTTCTTCAACGACTTGTAAAACATCTTCCTTTACTTCTGGGTCACCACTTTCCAACAAATCGTCAGCATTATCGAGAATGAAAAAAGATGGTTCCGAAATTTCGCTTAATAACTGACAAAGCTGATCATCAAGAGAAAGACGCAAAAACGAGGGCTGTTCATTTATGACAGATCGCCTGATACAGCCGAGAATCTTTGAAGTTAGAGCTGCTTTTGACCTCAGACCACGTAAGGACAACCAACACACCGGCATTCCCTTGTTTCGGAGATCGTGTCCCACCGCAATTGCAACAGATGTTTTTCCAAATCCTGGTGAACCCCAGATCGTCACAAGCTGGGTAGTATCAGAAGTCAAGTGACCCATAATCTCATCACATTCGCTTCGACGCCCAGTAAAATGAGGAACCATTTTAGGGAGGGAAGTTGCCAAGGGCGATGGTCTCACACCTTTAGACGTAAATGATAAAGAATAACAGTCAAATTTGCACTTTTTGGTGACCAAGGCAAACACAAAGAAACAATGAAACTTTAACGATTATTTTCATGGCGTTTGAAATCAAAAGAAGTAAGAAAGCAAATAGATAAAGACCAACTATAATATAAAGATGGCAATTTAATGTAACTACCGCCACTGGAAGTAACTCAAATATGTGACCTTCCAAATGAAAACTCAGTGCTAATGAAGCGATTTATTCAGTAACCTCTTTATATTCGCAATTAAGTGGGGGGCAGGTTTGAATTCAGGCAACAGTTAGGCGGCTAGGCAACGGTACATTTACTTTCTTTACTTCGACACACACTGACTAACCCTCGTTAAACTTTGGATGATAATAATGTGTACCTAGCCTGAGTATGAAGCGTTTCTGGGGGAGAGGAGAAGAGAAAAGCGAAAAGGAGATAGAGCAAAGGGATAGAAACCTCTTTCCTCTTTACCCCCTCCCCCACCTAAGATTTCCTCTCCCCAAAGTCCCTGAGGAAGGCCTGATACGTAGGCTAACGTGTACCCCGCTCTGGTATGCATTAATTAACAATTATTCCTCGAGCCCGAACGGGCTCTGACTCAATAGCCCATGAGGCCGAAGGCCGAATGGGGTATTGACTCAAAGGCCATGAGAGCGAGAGGAATAATTGTAATTAGCAAAACCCCAATAGCTGGTCAAAAATATCGAGACAAAACAACTTTAGCTAGCAAAACGCGATTCAGCCGCCATTGTTTTGGTTTTCAAGCGCCGGCGCTTTTCGCTACTGGTGGGCTATAACATATAGTCTAGTTGTAGTTCAACCAATCAGAACGCAGCATTGATGATAGACCAATAGTTGGATTTTACTAATACAAATAAGCCTGCGTGCAATAAAGGAAATACGATACGTCTGCACACAGGCTAAAAACCAATGCATCCACGGTAAGACACTTAAAATTACTAAATAATTCTGGGAAAAAGGAAAAGGCGAATTCAGACTCATCTCAGCAAGACTAGGCACACAAGAATGTTAACATCTTATGTAATAATAAAGTCAAGTGATGGACCTAAATCATCTTCTGAAACTTTTCACTTTCAACAGTTTAAATTTAATTATTATTATTATAAATTATTGTAATTATTGTAATTTGTTTTCCCACGGAATACGTAGGAGTTCTTAGGAACTCGTTGAAACGTGTCTGTGCGTTCCAGATCGAATTGGAATTTGGAAGTGTTGGTTTTTAAGGAGTGGGGAAAACCGGAATACAGAAAAACCTCTCAGAGCAAAGGAGAGAACCAACAACAAATTCAACCCACATATGGCGTCGACGCCAGAATTCGAACCCGGGCTAAATTGGTAGGAGGCGGGTGCTCTCACCACTGCGCCACCCTTGCTCTCCCAATTAAATTTGAATAAAATCGCTTAGCAAAGCACCCCAAAGTCAGAGCCTGCGTCGATGGCGGAATTGCTTTCGTGCTTGTGAGAGTTTTGAATTTAAGAGCGAATGCACAGAAAAATCGAGCAAACCGTGGCCACAGCTCAAAACCTAACCTACCCTCATTTTAAGTCTGTAATAAGGTTTTAATGAATTTAGAACACTGCTGAGGTTTAAATTTCAAAATGCGGCCGAATTTGGGAATTATTTGAGGTTTTCGATTTCAACGGTCTGCGGGCCTAAAATTAGCCGCCGAACACGGCAATATAGCCTAGCGACAGAAATGAGCTGACTTTCATAAACGAGCGAATATATTGGCAATCTTCCACTTAAATCTCAAAAAACAGATATTAACAATTTCTAAACAGCACATTTTTTTAGATTTAGAGAATAAAATATCGACGAACGAGCACAATTTTGAAACGTAATTTGCATAATGCTTATATATACAACAATTTACCGCTAAAACCAAAATCGAATTTTCTATATGGGGGAATTCTCCAAATCACCCCAAATCCCGCTTACTACCTAATGAGATATGGTACTTCAACATTATCTGAAAGTTAGTCTGGTGTTCTTGCGAACGCTTGTAAAATAGACTGATTATTTTGAGGTTATTTCGCCCCAAACAACCGCTAATTGACCGCAGGGTCAACTGACACGTGCACGTCAACTTAGTTTTATGCGTCGATTTGAGCTCGTTAAAAGGGAGAAACTAACAAGATTCTTTTAATATGTACCTGTTTTAATGAAATACACGCAATCTTCAAAAGGAGAGGCCGTTAAATGGGTAATTTCTGTTCTTGAGATCTTGTAGATTGTACCATGGCGTCTGCGAGTGGACCTGAGTCTAGGTCTGTTTTCCCGTGGCTGCGAAATCAGAATAACATCATGAAATAATTCTCGCTCGAACCTTCGTAAATGAATCAGCTTTGCAGTGCCTTATCTGAGATAAAAAGTGGGCCGAATAGGAAAACATTCTATAAGCGCAATTTGGATCCTTTGCAGCACGTAGTGTATTTGCGAAGCGGCGATGGTATCAATGACTTTTTTTAAAATTAGTTACTAACCTCCGATTGCGTGACCAGGCAATTATCGATTGTCTCCTGCGAAAAATAAGTGCACGGGAAACCAAAGCTTTCGGGATACAGTAAATTCATTTTCCTGTATGACCAGGTGTCCTTTGTTCCTATTTTAAAGGCGGTTAACTAAGATGATTAGCAAACATACTAACTGAATGTTCTGTTCTTCTGATTTTACCCCCAACCACTACGCATGAAAGGCAAATGGATTAAATTTTAAGATTCAAGGCGGTTTTAAGGCATGGGTTACCAGTGGATTAGTCAGACTTGTCATAAGGTGCATTGAACAGAAAATTACAGGCATGATATCTCTGCTATTGTGCGTCCATTAAGTGATTTTCCAGCAAACATTATTTTTTGACTTTTTTACCCCAAAAGTTTTTTCCGTTCAATTCTTATCTATGAGATCTAAACTTAGTTAAATTTCTGTAATTTGTTGTTAAATGCAATTCTGCAAACAACTAAGTATTTAATTTTGCGTAAAAGCTACATGAAATTGTACTGTTTAGCCGTAAATCATTAAAAAGAGAAAGCATCATGCTTTCTCTTTTCAAGTCTAGTAGGACTTAAGCAATGGCATTGCTTAAGTCCTAGTAAATGTTCTCCATGTCTACTAAGGAGGAAAATTAAATAGTTTACTGTTTTCAAGAAATTGTTCTTGCCCATTGCGGTTTCAAACCAAGGATAGCAGCAAGTCTGTCGTGGTCATATACTGCTACTTCAGTGCAAACGAAGCATAGGCGCACAAGTCAGCGCTTGCGTTTAGTCAGGTGCCGAAAATGAAGTGGAACTTAACCCCAAGGGCGTCCATGTTCGCTCCGGCTCGAAAAGGTAGAATCAGTTGTGCAGTAAACAGTAATGCGAAAAACCTGCGGGGGCTGGGGAAAGAAAGGCGTCTTATTTTTCTTTGGCTTGTTCTATTTTCGCGACGTGGTACAGGCTACGAAATACTGACAAGCTCAGTATATGTCTTCACCACCGAGAGTCACTTGCCCTTAGCCGGACACTCCCCTCACGTATCATGTTTCGTTCCTAAAGTTATTTCAAAGCACAGAACCAAACCTAATCAGCGGCCGAAGGCATATTTTGCAAGAAACTAGTATCCTTGTGCCTATAGGTTCTGGAACGATTAATTACTACTAGAATTAATATCAGGGTCAGAATTTGAGTGCTACAATGGGAGGGAAGGAAGAATAGGAAACCGCCGCGCACACCTGTTAAGTCTTTTATAAACTTTCTCGTCCTGACTGTTTCAAAAAAGGGCGTTGTGGCTGCTATTTAATTTACAGTGTCTGTTGCAGGTGTCGAATTAATCTTACAGCAACTGGAAACGTGGCCACGCCTGCTGAAACTAAGATTGCTTGTAGGATGAACGGCTATAGTTTGGTATATTCACGAGCGCGTTTTGTCCAGTGAACTGAGTGCGTAGTGTTTCTTAACGAAGGGATGGGGTGGGTCAAGTGAATAGTTCGGGGAACGTTTGCTCTCTTTAGGGGGGTATATTTGTTGATATCAGGAGTTCTGGCCTGGATAGAGTCGTTGTAAAGCTATTTTTGCTTGGGAGTATCGGTTTACCGGAAGCTGAGCAAGGAAAAGTCAATGGTGCATTTATGGAATAATAACAGAGATTCTCATGGTCTAACAGTGCGAAGATTAGACTTCTGGTAAGGTGGCAACGATCAAGGCCCGCATTATAATTCATGATAATTGAAGGTCATGATGTAGAAAAAGCGACTAAAATGGTGGATGCCATGCAATCCTCTCGGGTGGGGGCGGCGTACCTGGCCTTAACGGTTGCCCCTGCGACAGAAGGCAAGCATGCCCAGATTGCCCACGGGTTGCTAAATGAGACCGTCCCTTTCTTAGTACCCGTTCCCTGTCTTATAATTAGACCCGGGCAAATTTCTCGAGATTGTACCATCATTTTGGGCTTAAAGCTTCCAAAGTCCAACAATAATAGCGCATGTTCGCGACGGTTTTTTAAGTCAGTCAAGTTCTTAAACCAGGCCTTAAACGGCCAGTTTTAAGTGTCGATAACAGTTAAAAAGGCATACAAGCCTCATGCAAAAGACAGTGGGAAGGAAGTGCACATCGGTGATGGGGAAAAAATGGAGTAGCCCACAGTTATTTAGGGTGTGGATCTTTCGAAACATTGTTATACTCTTGGACAGATATGCATTGTTTAAAGTTTTAGACAAACCAGGTGTAAATTTATAGTAACAAACTGTTAAATATCCATCAGCAAGATTTTTGCGAATCCTATTTTTCGCTGGAGACTATCGTTTACTGGCTGGTCACGCAATCAAAGGCAACGTACTTTCCCACGTTTACTCACCTTTCGCTCTGCAATACACTGCGTTCCACAAAGGATCCAAATTGCGCTAGAAATGTTTGCTTTTCGGCCCACTTTTTATCTCAGGTAAGGCACTGCAAAGCTGATTCACTTACGAAGATTCGAGGGAGAATTATTTCTTGATGTTATTCTGATTTCGCAGCCACGGGAAAACAGACCTAGACTCAGGTCCACTCGCAGACGCCATGCTGCAATCTACAAGATCTCAAGAACAGAAATTACCCATTGAACGGCCTCTCCTTTTGAAGATTGCGTGTATTTCATTAAAACAGGTACATATTAAAAGAATCTTGTTAGTTTCTCCCTTTTAACGAGCTCAAATCGACGCATAAAACTAAGTTGACGTGCACGTGTCAGTTGACCCTGGGGTCAATTAGCGGTTGTTTGGGGCGAAATAACCTCAAAATAATCAGTCTATTTTACAAGCGTTCGCAAGAACACCAGACTAACTTTCAGATAATGTTGAAGTACCATATCTCATTAGGTAGTAAGCGGGATTTGGGGTGATTTGGAGAATTCCCCCATATAGAAAATTCGATTTTGGTTTTAGCGGTAAATTGTTGTATTTATAAGCATTGTGCAAATTACGTTTCAAAATTCTGCTGGTTCGTCGATATTCTATTCTCTAAATCTAAAAAATGTGCCGTTCAGAAATTGTTAGATATCTGCTTTTTGAGATTTAAGTGGAAGATTGCCAATATATTCGCTCGTTTTTAAAAATCAGCTCAATTCTGTCACTGGGCTATTTTCCCGAGTTCGGCGGCTAATTTTAGGCCCGCTGACCGTTGAAATCGAAAATCTCAAATAATTCCCAAACTCGGTCGCATTTTGAAATTTAAACCTCAGCAGTGTTAAAAACTCATTAAAACCTTATTACAGACTGAAAATGAGGGTAAGTTAGGTTTTGAGCTGTGGCCACGATTTGCCGATTTTGCTCGATTTTTCTGTGCATTCGCTCTTAAAGCCTCTCCTCCCCATTCTCCGCACTTCTTTGCAGCTCCTCTTCCAAAACTTTCCTCCCGCGAACGATCCCGCAGGCTTCGGGGTTGCAAAGTCACCACAGCTTAAGGTTTCAAAGGCCCTTTGAATTCTATTCTGAGGATTTGTGCAATGGGGTGAATAATCTGTCCCAGCGTTGTTTTTAGCAAAAAAGAAAAACTCTGCGAAATTCAAATTTAAAAACATCTTTCAGAGTTGTAATGCAATTACCATAAAATCTTTTAACATTATAAACATCGTCATTCACTTAAACTTTTCGTAGGTCCAAAGAGTGAAATTCCCGCCCACTTACTTTCTATGTTCTTATTTTGGCCGATCACTTGGCAATTGTAGTTCCTTTTTTACGTGTTCCAAAAGTAGTTCAATTGAGTAAAATCGATAGCGAAATAGAGGATATTACATGGCCGCGCGGACACACAGACCTGCCAACTCTCATGATTCTGCCGTGAGTGTCAAGATTTTTTAAATTTTCTCACGGCCTCACGACAAGACCCCAAATCTCACGGTTTTTTGAAAAATATCATTCTGAAAATTTAAATGAAATGTTACTTTGTTGAATAAAAACGTAAGTTTCGCGGGGAATACTAGTTTAAGCCTTGATAGGGCTTTGTAAAATTTTAACCATGAAGTTGGCTTATCGGGAAGAAATGACTCTTTGCTATAAGTTTCGTCCCAGTGATGACCTGTTCTCTGGCCTCTTAAAGTCATCAAAAAAAAATGGGCATCTAATTTTTTACAGAAGGGACCCAACTAAAGCAGGGTAATATTGAAGATCAATGTTAAGAAGACTAAGGCTATGAAAATCTGTAAGAGGCCTGGTGAGGAATTACTATTTTTCTGCACTGAAGATGGCCGTGCAATATATGAAGAATACAGGTACGAGACAAGTAAGTTAATAACCCATTCATGGAGTGTTCTGTCGCACTTTGTAATAATCGTCGCACTTTGTAGTAAAATTGTCGGTTTGTATTAACACTTCTCGCACTTTGTAATAAAAAAGCTGTCGCACTTTGTAATGAAATACCGTAAAATTCTGAAAATGAGCCCCTCCATGTATGAGCCCCTCCAAATATAAGCCCCCCAAGCCCGTAACGCAAAAAACCCTCCGTTAAATCACCCCTCTGAATATAAGACCCCGCGGAGGCTTTTACTTGGAAATTGCCCTACACAAACATCGAGCACAACACGGTGCTACAATCATTATCATCATCATCATCATCATTATCATCATCATCGTTATTATTACTGTTATTATCGCACTACTGCATATTATTGTGCCACAATGGCTGCTTATTTTGTGGAAATTTCGAATGCACTAGAAACGACATGAAACAAAATAGATTCATAATAATCGGAAAATGCGGCATCGCAAAGTGTGGCCCAGCTAAGATCAAGAGCCATTATGGGGCCATTATGAAATTACGAAATGCAAATCTTAAGTTCAATGATACAAACAAAAGATCTCAGTCTCGAACGTTTATGCTCAAGTTCCAACCTCTATGTAAGTTGTAACAACTAGGCATTTTTCGCCTCTCGTTGCTACAAGTTCTTTCTGTCTAGCAAAAAATTGAGATTTCTCTGCCTAGACCTTTGAAGTATGCTACAGTCAAAACCTCTTTAATACGGACACCAAAGGGACAGAACCATTAATTTTGTCCGCTTTACAGAGGCTTCCGTATTATAGAGGTAGGAAATGTATGTTTTTTTGCATTTCTGAGACCAAACGAACTGGCCATAATAGAGAGGTGACCGTAACTTTTTAACTTAACTTGACTTTATTATTCCATCGCTCATATAGTACAAACTCAGTAAAGCCAAAGCCGGGGAGTTATACGGCCTGTGGTCAGAATAACAGAAATTACTTAATATAGAAATGAAGACTGTAAGCTAAACTACAAAACTAAAACAAGATACAAAACTGAAATTAAATAAGTTTACATGGATGCAGTCCCATAACAGAGACGGAACTAGTGAAAAATAAACTAACAATAAACTATAAGAATCCTGCGCTAGTTCAATTCAGGCTTAAAAAGTGAAGTTTTAGTTTCTTTTTAAAGCAAGTAGTGGTAAGGCTGTCACGGGCAGTCAAGGGGATATCGTTCCAAATAGTCGGGGCTTGAGAACTAATCGCAAATTGATACCTGAGGGACATTTTATGCAAGTTGAAACGAGAACGAGTTAGATAATCATGAAAATTACGATTAAAGTGGAGGAGCGAGGAAAGAGAGGCAGGTAAAAGGCGATTAAACTGTGAGAATACAAAACAAGAAACATGAAATTTATAAAGTGAATGTAGAGAAAGAATATTAAGAGCGACTTTCTGTAAATACCACGGATAGGTGTGCAAGATGGAAAAATCGAAATCCCCCAAACTTTGTCCTAACAAAGCCCTTTGGAAACTATTTTAGAAAATACAAAACTCAGTTCGTTTGACTTAATATTTTCCAAAATAATAATTTGTTTTAATTTTCACCTTCGAGAGGCCTTCAAACCACCGAAAAATGTGCTTGATACCCTCGCTTCGTGAATGGAAACGGAAACTAATACCATAACTTTTTTTACATTAAACAATGTTATGATCCTTCCTTTCTACCTAAACGTTGTTACAATTTCAAAAGATTTCAGTCTGAGTTTTTAATATTTTTTCAAAATTACCCTCTAAATCAGCATTATCGCGACCATCAATTTTGCCATTTTTCAACGGCGAAAATCCCTTCCTGGTACATGGCTTTCATTAGAAAAATGGTATTCCAGAGAAAGAGCAATGTTTCCCCTATCAATCTGTGAAATAAAATTCTGGGGCAATTGAAACTGCGAGTTTTTACAACGGAAAACATTTACGGTACTCGCGTGATTTACGACCTCTGAACTTGCAGTTGTCGTGATGAATACCAGGGGGCAACTTAGACAGCACTTGAAACTCTGGCGCAAATTAGCCCCTTTTCCGCCCGTTTAAACACCAAAAACGATTTTAGATTTCACAGTGGTAAATTTTCAAAAGGAAAAGCAATTTTATTGTGCGAAAGTGTGCTATGAACTTCTTGACTACAACACATCCCTTACGTGCGTATTTGTTTACTTTTGCCGTATCTGTAACAGTTATCATATATCTACAAAACGGCTTTAGTGTCGGTAGCTATTCTTTAAAATGCTCTCATTTCTCATGAACCAAATCGTTATAGCTATAAAAAAGGAAAACGTTTTGACCTACCTCACGTTATTTGACAACAGAACCGAATCCTTTACTGCCTTTAACGAAATGAGATTGCGTGACAAAGGACTTTGAGACCCAGGTTGAAGACAGATACCATTCCGAAAAAGACACTCACGCGGTGCCTTCTGTAACTATAAAAGCAAAACATGTAAATAATCAAAATCCTTAGTTTCACTGACTTATCCGCTAGAGCGATTATGAAAACGTAAGACTGAAAAAACATATTTTCCACAACAGACTATGAAGTGGTTGGCCCTTATATTCTCTTACTTTCCATAAACGCCTGCTTACACATTTTGAAATACGATTATGAATTCCTTACTTGTATCCTTAGAAAAATGACATTTAGGGGGAAAAAAGTGCTAATTCCTAGTCTTAAATGCCATCCGTCCCTTCCCTCCACCCCCTAAGGTGCGGCAGCCCGTTTCGGGGTGGGGCGAAGAAACGCAGAACATTTCAAACTGGACATAGCGGGGCTAGAAAACCTGCATAATTTTAGAGCACCTCTGGTGTTAAAAGCAAAGCTTTCAGTAGTTCTGGCAACCTCGAGCAAGTTTTGCATTTCTGAGCAACGTTTGGGAAAAATATAGGCATATGTCAAGCCAGAAAAAAGTGAGCAGTTTGATAGAAAATGTCAAGTACGACTGAACCGCGCCCGTATAAGCGCCCCTAATGATTCTGGCAGGGGGAGGGGGGGAATTTTGAAATGGAGCGAAGGGGACCTAGGTCTAAACATACCGTCTGCGCTTTAGCTGTGAGTCTGCCTTGGAGATAAATTTCGCTCATATTTTTGAGCAACTCTTTAAAGAAGATTGCAAGCCGTATAGTTGCGTCCGTTTGGAACGCTGGAGCGGTGAAACCAATGATCGCGCCCCTCACACCTTGAAAAAAAAGCTGCGTTTTTTGAGAAAAAAAAGAAACGAAAATAAAAGAGAAGGAAAGGCCGTTCGCGCTAACTGAAAGCTATTGTTTTTTGCATTGCTATTGAAAATCTGAAAAGGAACAGTCTTACACACGTAGCCCTCGGGGCGGTACCAGGTGAATATATCACATACCCCATCGTTCCAGGTATATAACCTTTACGTAAGCGTAGGATGTAAGACACACTTGCGGATACGCGTAAGCATAACGTGAGATACCCAGGCGCAAAAAAAATAACAGTGGCGCGGCTAATGTTGGCTCCCCTCAAAAATGAAGCGAATTAACGTGGGCTTGAAATGTGAGATATTCGGATATCTTCGGGATAATTGATAGCGAGTTATTTCCAGTCTACGGACTTTCTCCTAAATTTTTCGAAAGTATTTGTTCTCTTAGAAAACCCAGAATTTTGAGATTTCTTGATAGTTTTATACATACGCTAATTATGAGATTACTTTTCTTCTTTCCTAACGATAAGTTAAATAGGTCAAGAAAAAACAGCTTTCAGTAAGTTAAAATAAGTTTTTTGAGGGCGCGATCTTTGGTTTCACCGCTGAGCGTTCCTGACGGGCCCAAATATAAGGGCTTGCAATCTCCTTTAAAGAGTTGCTCGACACTGTGGGTAAAATTTATTGCCAAGGGAAACGGACAACTAAATAGAAGGCGGTGTGCTTAGAGCTAGGTCCTCTTTGCTCAATTTCAGAGTTTCCCTCCCCACCCAGCCTCCCCTCCCGCCCGAGTCATTAGGGGCGCTTTTACGGGCGTTGTTCAGTCGTACTTGACATTTTCTATCAAACTGCTCACTTTTTCTGGCTTGACATGTGCCATAACCTATATTTTGGCAAAACGTTCCTCAGAAATGCAAAACTTGTTCGAGTTTGCCAGAACTACAGAAAATTTAAACACAAGAGGTGCTATAAGGTTATGCAGGTTTTTTAGCCCCGCCATGTCTAGTCTGAAATGTTATGCGTGCCTTCGCCCCACCCCGAAACCTGCTGTGGCCCCTTAGGGGTGGAGGGAAGGACGGATGACATTTTAGACTACGACTTAGCGCTTTTTCCTAAGAATACAAGTAAGGAATTCATAATCGTATTTTAAAACGAGCGTGATGAAAACAAAAGACTACGGTGGAACCTCGATTTAACGAAGGGCCAAGGGCCTAAAAAAATTTCTGAGCCACCCAACGACGGTTTCCTTCTAAATTCATTGAAAACATTTTTCAATGGTGCACCCAGAGTACTTTTAGATCTCTAGAAATGCATTCTAAGCGGCTTGTTCGGTCATCCTAGGGAAACTTGCATTGAGCATTTTTGAAATTACAAGGGCTTCAGTATTATTTTCCCAAAAATTTGAGATGCAATTTAACGTATCACGAAAGTGAGAATTTTTCTGATTCCTCTCTCAATCACATGTTTGAATCCGACCATTTTAGGCTTCCTCTTTTCTATGAAAAATTAGCCTAACCTGGGATGTAAAATTTGAAAAATTAAACTTCAGAAAATCGTAGGGAATTTATAAGATAACCTTCGAAAATTGAACAGGAACGGAACGGTCGTCTAGAAATTTTTAGGCGTCCTCAAGCTATAGAAAATTCTAGGCAATATCTACTTCTCCCATGATATATTTTGCAGAAATGAGTCGTTGAGTGCCCCTGAAATTTGCTCGCTATAACGAGGTTTCGTTATATCGAGGTTTTTTTTTTCATACCATAAATCCTCTATTAAGCTCCCCCGGGGGGCTTATTATTTCAAGCTCATTTGAGGGGGAGGGGCTTAATAGAGACGGGGGGATTAATATGTTTAATTTAGAAACTAAGATGGTATCGCTTCTCCATAAAGGCTACAAAGTGGAAAAGCTCAAGTACAGGAAGTTTTAGGTCATGCAGTCGAAAATCATTATCAAATCCGAACTTCCCGTTGGTAAATAAACCATCCCGGATCAGTCCACACGAAGCCTTTACGGTCGTGATTGATTCATACAGTCTTTCATTTATTAGTGAAGAATAATTACGGGTGGGAAGCGGGTGCTTGATAGAAGGGGGGGGGGAGGCTAATCAGAGGGAGGAGGTTATTTGACAGGGGGCTTTAATATAGGTTTTACGGCATATTTTACTATTATCGAGGTAAAGAAAATCATTCGTAGGTTCTTTATATCGCGGTTCCACTGTATAAGGGCCAACCCCTATATAGTCTTTTGACGAAAAAATATTTTTTTAGTGTTACGTTTGCAGGGTCGCTCTGGCAGATAAGTCAACGAAACTAAGGATTTTGATTTTTTACATGTTTCGCTTTTATAGCTACAGAAGGTGCCGCGTGAGTTTCTGGGCGCTTTCCATTTAGTCAAAATTTCCGGAATTTCCGGTTCGGCGGTAAATGGAACACGTTTCGTCGGTTCGTCCCATTGGAAAATTCCCAGAAAAAGTGGAAAATCTAAAAAGGTGGTCCCGTTTTCCCGGTTGGAATTTCCGAACGGAATGTCGTGTTCCATTGACGTTTCTTGTAGTTTGTACCAGTTCCAGGTCCACGGTCGGGCACCCGGCCACGTACCGGGGTTTACGACCAAATGGAACAACTTTTTACCAATCGGAAATTCCACTTTTGCTACCACCGAAATTTCCGGGTTTTTTTCGTAAATGGAAAGCGCCCTCTTTTTCGGAATGGTATCTGTCTGCGCGGTATAACCTGGGTCTCAAAGTTCTTTGTCACGCAAGCTCGTATCGCTAAAGGCAGTAAAGGATTCGGGTCTGTTGTCAAATAATGTGAGGTAGGTCAAAATGTTTTCCTTTTTTTATAGCTATAACGATTTGGTTCATGAGAAATGAGAGCATTTGAAAGAATAGCTACCGACACTATTAGCCATTTTGTACATATGTGTACGGCAAAAGTAAACAAATACGCACGTAAGGGAAGTGTTTGTAGTCAAGAAGTTCATAGCACACTTTCGCACAATAAAATTGCTTTTCCTTTTGAAAATTTACCACTGTGAAATCTAAAATCGTTTTTGGTGTTTAAACTGGCGGAAAAGGGGCTAATTTGCGTCAGGGTTTCAAGTGCTGTCTAGGTTCTCGCTTGTATTCATCACGACAACTGCAAGTTCAGAGGTCGTAAATCACGCGAGTACCGTAAATGTTTTCAGTTGTAAAAACTCGCAGTTTCAATTGCCCCAGAATTTTATTTCACAGATTGATAGGGGAAACATTGCTCTTTCTCTGGAATACCATTTTTCTAATGAAAGCCATGTACCAGGAAGGGATTTTCGCCGTTGAAAAATGGCAAAATTGATGGTCGCGATAATGCTGATTTAGAGGGTAATTTTGAAAAAATATTAAAAAATCAGATTGAAATCTTTTGAAATTGTAACAACGTTTAGGTAGAAAGGAAGGATCATAACATTGTTTGATGTAAAAAAAGTTATGGTATTAGTTTCCGTTTCCATTCACGAAGCGAGGGTATCAAGCACATTTTTCGGTGGTTTGAAGGCCTCTCGAAGGTGAAAATTAAAAAAAATTATTATTTTGGAAAATATTAAGTCAAACGAACTGAGTTTTGTATTTTCTAAAATAGTTTCCAAAGGGCTTTGTTGTGACAAAGTTTGGGGGATTTCGATTTTTCCGTCTTGCACACCTATCCGTGGTATTTACAGAAAGTCGCTCTTAAGCTTCGAGAAAAGGGGCTTAGAACGAGTTCGTGGAGGAGAAAACGTGATAATTCGAATGGCTTTCTTTTGGAGTAGATAGAGGGGTTCAAGGTAGGAGGCATATGTAGATGCCCAGATGAGGTTACAATAGTTGATATAAGGTAGAAAGAGGGAATTATATAAGGTTTTTAGAGTGACCGAAGGAAAGTATTGTCTCGATTTAGACAAAATTCCTATAACCTTAGCGACTTTATCGCAGATGGAAGTGATGTGCGGTTTCCATCAAAGATTTTCGTTAATAATTATTCCAAGAAATTTATGTTCCTGAACCCGCGCTATAGGGATGTTATGAAGGATTGATCTGTTTACGTCGTGGATGGAAGATGATGAATTTAAATTTATCAGGATTAACAGTAAGCTTGTTTGCGTTAAACCAGGAGGAGACATGAGAAAGCTCTTGATTAACCATTCTAGCGAAAGTAGCCAAGTCTACTAAGTCTTTATGACGAAAAGAAATATTGGTGTCATCAGCAAAGAGAATAAATGAAAGAAAATTTGAAGAAAGAAAAAGATCATTAATGTATAAGAGGAATAATAAAGGGTCAAGAACAAAACCTTGAGGGACCCCACACACAACAGTGTTGTTAGAAGAAACATGACCATTGACCATAACATACTGTTGTCGGTTGTCTAAACAGCTGGTGAGCCAAGCTAGAGGAATACCACGGATACCATAAAAGTTTAATTTGTCAATAAGTATCTGATGATTTACAGTATCAAATGCCTTCTTGAGGTCTAACAAAATTCCAATAGTGTATTCATTACTTTCAAAGCCTTCATATATATTGTTTACAAATTCGAGGATAGCCATAGTTGTAGAATGATGTGGTCTGAAGCCATATTGATGGTAATAATAATGAGTCTTTATTTCATCAAAAGATAAAACTACATATCTTATGTTACAATAATACGGAAGATAAAAAACTATGATAAAAATATCTACAATATAATATATTTTAAAAAGTATGTCATTACAATAAATGGAGCTTAAAAATCAACCTATTTACAAAGGTGTTCATAAAACGCTCTGTACTAGTTTTCGGACGTGCGCAGCCTTTTTTCCTAAGATTATATACAAAAGTCTTCTAGACAGGAATAATATCTTTCAGTGGGTGGCAATCCGTTGTTATTAAAAACTGAATCATTGGATAATGCAATTCTAGCATTTTGATTGGTTTAGCCGTTATGGTATATGAGCTAATATACCATGTTCTCCATATATGGTCGGTGTACGCGTCAGTTTAAAATTGGAAGCTAGCTGAGATTTTTTTTTCGCGAAGGATAGAACGGCGCCCGAAGCAAATCGTTTTAATTCATTTCTTAGAATACTAGAAATGCAATTTCAACGAAAGAAAAAAGACAAAAACAAACAAAAAAGCCACAAGAGCTTGTTTGAAAGTTTGTCGAAAAACAAATGAAACTAAAGTACCTTGACCAGCTACGAAAGAAGACAAGTGTTGTTTCTTCATGATCGCGAAGCCATTCGCCGATCGAGTCACTCGCCGATAGATAACTGCAGCTTGTTTATCCAACATCAAGAATATAAATCACAAGTAACCAGCTACAAATACAGGCTATGCAGCCATTCACTAGAGCAATCGAGGCGGCAGTATAGCTTCTTTTCTCGTTCAGCAAAACCAGCTTGTGGCTTCAAACAACTTCATACCAAGCGACGAGGTAATACCAGTAGTTTTTCTCCGTTGTTCTTACTTTTATAACTGCACCGAAAATCCAAATTCATAGTAATTTCGACGGCTGTCACTTAAAAATTCCTTTCCTTCACATTATCTGCCAGGTTTTTTAAGCTGTTCTGCTGTGTAAAATCCTAGAATCACGATGAGTTTTCAAAAAACTAATGTTCATCGCACAATGTTTTGATTTTTCATTCATGCAGTCTAGGCGAGCCCGTTCGCGCGTTGACAGTTTTGATAGACGTGTGACATGTCAATAGCGGAAGTCCCTTGTCTTTTCCGGTTTGTTCTAGTCGGGGCGATTCAACGAGATTTTGTGGGCGTTTTTAATAAAACAATTATTCCACTCGGGCTTGTTGGATATGAAATGATTATAGCCAACTCGGCGCTATGCGCCTCGTTGGCTATCTATCATCTCATATCCAACGCGCCCTCGTGGAATAATTGTTAAATATTATTCTTCTATTCTTTAAAATGTTTCGGTCTTGTTTATTTAAACGGTTCTTGATAAAAACTGGAAATGAAATAAAACGGCGTTTATGGCATCGGTCTAAAACCTTTTGTATAACCGCAAGATCGGACTCCGATGCCCCATAGACTGAAAGCGCATAGCTAAAATTAGGCAAAACAATAGACATAAAAAGGTGATCTATCTCTGCCTGAGAGTAGTGTTCCTTTCTTAGTGTTCGTAGGACATGTAAACACTTGTTTGCTTTGACAAGCTTGGTTCTTACATGCTCATTAAATTTCCCGTCACTCTAATTTATGTTCTCTTGAATTGGAGATAAAATGGTAGCCAGGAATATTAAAGAGATCAGAATTAGACTTATGTAACCAGGTTTCAGAAACGGCAACAACAGAGAACAACATATTAAGTCGTGAAAGAAGATATTCCGACAGGTAGGCAAAGTGTTTAGGGAGGCTACGGAAATTAATATGGAAAGCAGAAAATGCATGAGGAGGAAAAGGAATTTTGTTAAATTCTGAAGAGGTTAGATATATGCAGTTCGAAAGTAATTCTGAATTGGCGGTAAAAAAATTGGGGTTAGAATCAAGGTTAGAGTTCATTAGCAGATGAGATGTCTCAGGGTCATCAAAAAAGGGATTAAACACTTTTTGCTTAAGAAGTTCAGGATCAAAATGTCCTTCAAAATTAAAGTCGAACAGTGCAAAGAAGAAATCAGTATCATTTTCAAAATGGTTAAATGGAAATAGAGTGGCAAGACAAAATGAGCAGAACTAATCTTCGTTAGTATTAGACAAAGCACTGTATTCCTCACATGTAAAAGGAGTGCACTTTAAATGTGTCCAGTTCTGACATATGTCACATAAAATGGCTTTGTGACTATTACGGACGCTAAATTTACACACAGTTCATGGGCACTTAATAGGCAAGGAGAGGTAAGGAGAGGTTAGACTGTACTTGTTTCGCCAAAATAATTATGTCCATGATGATAAACCATCTAAGACCTATATAACACAATACGAACAATGCATTTGCCAATTTTTTATTTAAGATTATTCGCCGTAATTCAAACACGACAGCATTTGAAGGCCCAAACATTCTTATGAGTATTTTTAGCGCTGACATTTCCCGCTACCCCGCCACAGGAGAAGTAAATACGCGGCAGAATCTGAAAAGCCAGCCTATGGGTCACGAAAACTAGTATTAACTCTGCACAGAGCACAGTTGATTGTAAACTTGAAATCTGTGAGTAGGCCACGAAAAGTTTCCAGATCCTTCTTTAACAATGAATGACGTCATTTTTTTGAGATAATTGATGTGTTTGCCAACTTCTTGATTTTGTCAGACACCTTACTATTTGAGTGTTTTTCGCTTTGAGGGAAAAATTAGGGAATTGGATTTTACCAATAAATTCAACAACATGACTTCATAATGACCTCTAATTATGTCATTGTGTCAATCAAGTTATGCCTAGATGTCGGAGAAAAATAGTACATTGTAATCTGTGTTATTGTGGTGGCCGTCTTATGAGTGGCCCTTATATAAATAATCATCATCATAAAACATCCTCAATAATAATAATAATAATAAACAATTATTATTCATTCAAAATATTTCCTCAATTCTGATTGGCTAAAAGCACACGCATAATTCACCATAACCAGTTACTGATGACCGAATTTGGAAGAATTTTGTGTTTAACGAGGAAATGACGTCAAAAATGCAGCCCGCTACAGGTTAAGGCACCGTTACCGAGAAGACCTGGGGACGAGGTTGAGTTGTTTTGGTTGTGAAAAAAAAAATGGCGGACATTTCACTCGTTTCAAGAGTAAGAACTACAGCTGGAACTAGGCGAAATAATAGCTAAAAACATGGCAAAAACAGCAAGAAGACAACTCGGAGGGCGACATCTGCTATTTGGAGAATAATTGCGGAGCTGGACAAACTACAAAGGTACACTATCGAAGATGAATTAACATCGATGCAGTTAAGCATGTTTTAGCTATGTTTTTAAAGTGCTACTACGATCAAATTTGGGAATTTGTTTTTTATTACATATTTCGAAAATGTATGTAAAAGTGACTTACCGTGCCAAGTTTGGAGTCCAAATATGATCTGGAAGTGTGTTTTAGTCCGGGAGCATGTGTAATGCCGTGGGAATTTCGTGAAGAAAGCAAGCCACTAGTCTAAATGTGTTAAGGGGACCCTAAATAACATGAAAAGTTTTGGTGGCAACTTTGTAACTTGCTCAGACGGGATTTATATGGGGTGGAAAATGTCATGTGTATATCCCAGCATGGAAACGAGGCTCAAACATAAAATTGTCCATAGCTTTCCATTATTTCCGTAAAACTTTATCAAAAACAACACATTTGTGCAAGTCAATGTTTCTAATATGAACATACGATTTTAAGAGGTTATTGGGGTCACGTGACCAAGTTAGCACGAAAACGAGGCTCACTCAAAAGTTGCACTGGTAGCCCTTAAACTTCACCTGATGAAGGCAGACATTAACAAAAGTCATGCAGGTGAATATCATCTGTGCAATCAAATGTGATTATTTTGTAAGGGTTATCACATTACCACGCTAGCATGAAAACGAGGCTGATACAAAAGCACAACATAATAAATGTTGCCTTTGTTATTTTACCACAATGAAAAAGTTTTAGAAAATAATTACGTTTTATGAATTGCTTTAGAGACATTAATGCGACAAATATAGGGCAGGTAACCAGTTTGATCAAAATAAAAACAGATTCTGTAATTTGCACTCGTTTATTTGAGCAAGTCTGTCATCTAGTTTTTTCTTCAGAACAGTAGGACAATTTAGCAAAACCAATGGATCAGATAAACTTTCCCTGCCATTTGAATCACTTTTCACAGGAGTTTTAGAAGCATGTCAAAATCTACTTTAACCTCCCCAAAAAATATCTTAGCATGGTTATCAGTTATAAAAACTGTTAGTGATTGTTCATGTGGTTCACTCATGTATATACATTTTACTGTCTGAACTGTCCTCTTCATATGAGTCGAGTACGTCTTCCTCCTGAACATCATTAACACAGCTGTCGCCATTGTCGGAGCAGTTGCAAAAGTTTTTGCAGTTTAAACCAGCCTTGCGGCACTGGCAACGGTTAGTGGAACACGTTTTTTTGGAACATCCACACTGTACTAGTTGAAGTATCGCTTTAGGGGCTGGTGGCATGTTTGTCATGACAGTTACCCATTCTTCTTGGTCCATCCGCCATCCATAGTGCTGCGATGATGGTAGCTCTGGGTTTGTTATTCTGTCGCTGTTCCAGACCGTCAACTGGTAATGGGCTCTCAGGATTGCCTGCTGCAATGCGGCCTGTGTTGGTGGCAACCTGTCTGATTGTGCTTTTTTTTTTTTTTTTTTTTTTTTTTTTTTTGAAAAGGCTCCATCGTAGGTCTTTAACAGTCATAAGTTTTGTTCTTGGTTGATATGGCCGACAGACAAACTTCTCAATGGCTGCGACAATTTCTTCATTTGGATGAGCAGCTTGTCCAAGTTCTGCAAGGGTAGTGATAACTGATGAATCTGCTTCTACAAATATCTTCCAGCAGAGAAGCTTCCCCTTTCCTGAAAAACTTCCTGTGTTGTCAGCTCAGCTTAGCGCATGGGATGCTGAAAGTGCTGCTATCTTCTCTGGGCCAAGAGTTTCAACAGTTGGTTTCAGCTCAATAATACGATGGTGTTGCCCTCTTCCCGTGACAAACAGCCTGTTCTCACACAATTCCAGATAACGTCTAAGAGCAAGGACGAAGACATCTGTGTGCAGAGAGTGAATCTGTAGTTGATTTGCGCCATTAGCGGTAGCATCAAGGGCATGTAAGATCATCTTTGTGTCATGTTGCTTGTACAATCTTCATTAGCAGTTTCAGACTGTGAACTGAATGGCAACATCTCTTGATTCTTTGATGCTTACCCTCTCTGATTCATTTACACGTTTGGGCTTGTGGAACTTAACGCCTTCTACGTCGGCCTGGATAAGTTTCTTTACAGGGGCACCCAACGGGAAATTTTGAGAAAAAGACCTAAAAACAACGACAAAGCGTGAATAAAGTATTCTGAGACTATTTTAAGCATTTTGGGAGATTGCTGGAAAAAAATTATCTGTTCCTGACTCCCAGCAAGACTGATGGAAGAGTTCCCAGCCAGCAAACTTACAACCTGC